GAATATAATATTTATTAAATAATTGATTATTCATATCTGTGTGCATGTCAACATACTTCGCCAATAAAACATAATCAACAGAATTTTTCAAATATTATTCGACACTTTTATTTATTGAATGATACTACATTTTCTGACAGACAAAGTATTGCAAAACTGTTGTCACAACCGACATTCTTTTTTTAACTGCAAAAAAATTTTAATAAATATTAGTCGTTTATAAATTTCAGTTTTCTACAATCGATATGAACCAAATATAGACTAGATTTGCCAAGTTTTATTTGTTCAATTCTACAAACTTCTATATTTATTGATTGACGAAAAGAATGACAGAGGCTTTTCAATTTTACTACAATCTAAGCTTCGTTGTAATTGTTTCAATGTTTGTTTTTTTTGTTAAATACTTATATTCATATGAAATAAAAATTCTTAATTTATATACCATCCGAAGTTTTGCTTCTTCGAGAACTGAATAAGATCCTGATAGAGGTATAAAACCCATACATGATCCTTCTCGTATAATTGTATATCCAATATCACCGAGTACATATACACAAGCAAAAAACCGAACAATAATATTTCGTAATTGTAAAGATGCAAGTACCGGATAATATCGAAGTCTAGACAAATAAACAAATCTAAATAAGACTTTGTTTTCTTTCAAAAGACACTATACCCGACAATAATACTAGTTCCTAGTCGTATCATTAACTCAATCAGTACACCACGATTTAATAGTTCATATGAACCAAAAAATAGTTCTTCAAAAATTTTTACAATTGCATAAAAAATAATTCCAAAAACAGCTGCTGTTATAAAACGATTTTCTGTATGAAATGGTTTAATTGGTGATAATAAACCTAAATAGAAAATCTCATCAATAAAAAAAATTCACGTCTATAATTTTTACCAGGTATACCATAACATATATTTGAACGTTGTTTATCTCGTTTAATTGACCAAGAAAATATGATTACCAAACTCAATGCAAAAGGAGCAAATGATAAATTTTCCTTTCGATAATCGAAATCTTTTTCACATTTTCTTAGTAAATGAATAAAATCAATAATTAAAGTTCCTACATTTTCATCATTAATTTTATCAATTTTAAATAAATCATAATATCTTAATGCTATTATATTAAATAAAGTTGATAAAAATAATAAACTTAGAAGAGCAACCCAAATATTACGAACAAGATTATGCTCAATTGAACTTGTTAATGGATGTGGAACTCTTTAAAAAAAGAATACGGTTTATCAATTTAGTTAAGACATGAAATAGCATGAAAAAAAAAACATCAACACTTTTTCAAAATGAATTACCTGATTTTCTTTGAAATAGACGTATGAAGTTGTTGTTTATCGTTTGTTTCAGTTGCTGATGATTGAGTTTCATTGTCATTATGAGCTCGATCGGATCTACAAGAATAGGTAATAGTTCTTCATTATCAATTGGAAAACTAATATTTATTTTCCTTGATTCTGAATGTTCATTTTCAGACGAGAATTTCTTCGTTCGAAACTCGTAGATTTTATGTACAGATTCATAAGACCTCAGTTGAAGTAAAAAATCGAAAAAGACTCACTAAAATTAGATTTTTGTTATCGGCGTAAGAAACTAAGTTAATGGTAAAAATTCGAAAATTTCATTCTCATAAAAATCGAAGTTTTTTTAATAATTCAACTTAATTTAGTTCTAAGCATTGATAAAATATCTTTACTAAGTATTATGAAGTCAAGTTCTTGGGCTAAGATATGTATATCACATATTTATATCCAACAGCGTATATATAATTTAAATCCTGCCGTAAAGGCTATTCGATAATTATGAAAAGATGCCAACATTTCAGTAGGTGGTATCGTTTGTTATTATTGATTACAATAAAATTTACTTTACATTTAGTCAGATAATTCTTGAAATTAACGAAATACCTTAATAAGCGTTGAATCGGTATGTGATATATTATAAAGAGGATTATAATCAATCCAAAACTAATAAGGATTTGTTGACCTTGCTGTGAAACTAAAAAACAAAAAGAATAGTTCAATTAGTTGAATATGAAAAACCATGTCCCTTTCTATTGTATATTATTTCTGATTCTGAATTTAGTAGTCAGACAAATATCAAGCATTTTGTTTTCATTCAATACAATGACTGAAACAGATACTATTACGATTAATAATTAAAATAAGAATTTTGAACAGTACTCCATTTTCTACTTTTTCATCTCAACAAATTCACTGAAAATTAGGGTATGGATGTGTTTTTAGAAATTTTACTCTTTATAATATAATTATCTAGTCAAAGAATTCATCGTATCATCTTCCCATGTATAAAATTTTTTTCGAAAAAAATAACAAATTTACACCTTAAAGAACATCTTTTCCTTTCATCATGGTCCAAAATTTTGGAATCCAAAACTTGTAAATTTTCTTCTCTGTCTGAATCATGATATGATCTTTCATTAACAAACAAATCAATATTAGACTTTTGATAAATAACTAATTAAATATAACGAAGTAAAATTATTTCAAATTTTGAATATTTTATTTTTAGCAACATGTTTAACTATTTATTAATGAAAAACTGTTACATACTTCTATCACAAAGAAGATCACCATACAAAAATGAACAGGAACATTTAAAACCTGATAATGTATTAACACAATGTCCATATCTACCACAAATAACATTCATAAAACAAAAGTCAAGTACTATATAAAAGAGAAAGAAAATAGATTTATATATCAAATCTATATCATTTGTTTCAAAAATTAAAACTACAAACCATATTCACAAATACGATCATAATGAGTATTAGGTTCAACATTATTCAATAAACAAAAAGTTTTAGTTGATAAACTGTATGTCGTTAGAATATAAACAGTTGAATTATCATTTAAAGCATTCCAATCAATTTCATGACAAATACTATGAATATCTTCGATTTTTTCAAATTCGTCACTTTCATCTGTTGAATCAAGATCATCATATTCATATTTATATTCATTACTATTATTATGAACAACTAAACTAACATTTAATATTGTTTCATTTGATTTGTCTTGTTTAAATGATTGTTTTATTTTTCTTGAACGTCTCAACATATGTAAACCAACTGAATTTAATCGACCAATAATTCTTGTTGTTAAATTCTGATATTTGATACGTGCTTGATAAATTTCTTGTTTCATTTGTTTCCATCGATTTTGATCAGTCTTTAATACTTCCACGAGATTTTTTACTAGAAAAAAAAAACAATTTTCTTTTTTTGATTTCTTTTAAAATCATTCTGATTAAAATATGTTTCTTACCTTTAAATAATTTCGGATCTATAGAAACCATTATTGATGACAAATTATTTCTTGACAAAACATGAGCAACATAGAATAGTTCAACTACATTTTGTATTTGAATGAGAGTTGAAAGATTAGAATGAAGATTACACGTATTGTTAGCAGTAACAGATGTTGATGATACATTAGAGAGGTAATAACATGAAGCACCTACACGTTTCCATCCTTTTGGACAACGAAATCGACTAACTAAAACATGAAGTTACTTCGATTAATACAAAAGCAATGGTGAAGGTATTTTAATTCCTTATAAAAAAAAAACTGTAAGAAACTTTTCTCTATAAAATTCAATAATAAAAATATTGTCTAATTTTTAAGCTATTTGATCAATCTTCAACTAACGAGATAATCTTGACAGGTGATAAATCACTTTTGAATTGAGTCTTATCTCATTAGATAGGACGTATTGAGACTAGAAGAAGCCTTGAATGATTCGTGTCTATGGATCTTTCTTTTTGAGTTATAGTCATTTTACTAAGTATTTTCACCAAAATGCCATGATCTTCTTCCAATCATCTTCAAAATCAACTTTCGAGTTTCTAGTTCAAACTTTACAAAAATCAAGATCCCGCAGAAGCTAGTTCATTGTAAATGTTTCAAATTTTCTAGCATTGTCTATCCAGAAATATAAACATAAGAACAAAATTTGCTTTTTCAAATAACAGAATTTTCTATAATCTCATCTTTGAATAGATGATGCTAGAAAATTTCAAACACTCATATTGGACGAGTATCTGCAAGACCTTGATTTGAGCAAAGTTTGAACTAGCAACTCGAAAGTTAGTTTTGAAGGTGGCTTGAAAATAATTAGTAAAATCACCATAACTCAAGAAGGAAGGTCCATGGAAGCAAATCATTTTAGACTTTTTCTAATGTTAGTAAGTCCTATCTCATGAGACAAGGCCTAACTCAACAATAATTTATCGCTTGTCGAGATTTTTTCGTAAGATCGCTTGAGGATTTCTCCGATAACGTTTAATTAAAAGAGCGCAGACTTGCAGGATTCGCAACTTGAAACCGAAAAAAATATGCATTGAATGTTATATACAATAAAAGACCTACGAAACTCCGAAAATATATCTCTATTTAAAATTTAATCATTCAACAGCGATATAGATTCCAATCGAAACTCTAAGTCATCTTTTCAGCAATTTCTATGGAAAAAAAAACTCATCGATTTGTTTGTTCTTGTCTAATTAGAAAACCGTTTTTTTCCTAAACCTAGAACATTCATTTAAAAAATCGGGAAATCATCTCGGAAAAGAACTAATATATTATACAATTTGATAGTCTTTATCTTTTATAAAGAGAGTTAGAAACAAAAAAATATATTATAAGCCATGCTACACTAGTACATGTATCGAGTTCAAGGTGTTCATGTCTACTTTACAAAGTATTCAAAACTTTCTATGATATACCACTAGTGGCAAAGTACTCCGAATCCAGTATAATCTCTAGAACATAAGTATGCAACATCAATTATCAAAGTATTGTAATTTCTAAATTGGACATTGTCATTTTTTTTGCTCCTTACTACGAAAACAAAAAATTGCCTGAAATTTTTCAAGAAGAAACTATACTCCCTCGGACAAAAAAAACGCCCTTTTTCGATTTCATGTTTGCATCACTTAATAAGTTGTTTTAGAAAAACAAAATATACCAGGAGATGCAGCGTGAAAAGAACTACAATGTGCAAAGTAAAGCTTATTTTAATTTTGCACTTTTTGTTTTCAAAAGAAGCAAAATTGTGTGCGACCAATTTTCGACGCTGGGAAAAAATCATTTTTTCTGATCTTATCTTTTTATCACCTAATCTGATTTTGTAAAAAAAATGTACCACAAGATGCAGCGTGAAAAGCTCTATAATCTACAAAGTAAAGCTTATTTCAATTATGTACTTTTGTTTTCAAAAAAAGCAAAATTCTGTATGACCAATTTTCGACGCCGCGCAAACATAACTTTTTTCTATGCGAACAAGAAATTCCTTTTTCCTTATGTCATCTTTTTATCAATTAATATGTTTTCGTAAAAAAAAAGAAATACACTGTAAGATGCAG